CACCCAGAGTGGCCTGGCCTGGAAGCCCCCAGACTTTTAATTAGAGCACTAGTGCAATGCGAATGCTAATGTGGAGCGTAGCGCTCTCAGATGTTTTTGTTGTTTTAATTGTGTCGAATCTTGGGTAACTGGTATTGTTTTAAAATGTTTAAAAGCTCTGTATAGTTTCTCAATGGTGTTGGTCCAGCGTTAAATCCATTTAAAGCTTTTCATATTTTGTGTGGTAATATGCTGGTTTGTAAATTGCTTTATTCAATGCTTTATGAAATTACTTTAAATTGTAAATACGTAGCGCTTCTTAACTGTTATTGAATCACCTTCTAAATTGTTGCGGAGTCACAGATGCTCAGAAATGTTATTAAAGGGATAGTTCACCCCAAAATGAAAATGTTGTCATTATTAACTCATTATTGTATGAGCTTCTTTCTTGTGTTGAACACAAAAGAAGATGTTTTGAAAAATGTTGGTAAACAAACAGTTGACGGTTGACAATAGCCATTGACTTACATTGTATTTTTTTCCATACTATAGAAGTCAATGGCTACCGTCAACTGTTTGGTTACCAACATTCTTCGAAATATCTTCTTTTGTGCTCAACAGATGAAAAAGAAAAACTCATACAGGTTTAAAACAACTTGATGATGAGAATGACAGAATTTGCATTTTTTTGGTGAACCGCCCCTTTAATAATACGAATTTGACACTCTTTTATAGTAAAATATCCCTTTAAATGTCCTCAGCAACATGTTCCTCATTTCAAATCCACATCAAACAATTCACAAACCTCTACAAGCGATTATATCCAGATATGACAGGGCCATGATTTTGAATGTATTGATTCAGTCAATATAATCTGAACACCCCCATGCATAATTTACGCACAAGGGTTAAACCGTACGGCCCACCTGTCAATAATGGACTTGTTGTAGTTGATTCATGGTATGGTCAACATAATTTACTGTTCTCGAGGGCATCCCTTCAAACCGTGGTTCAATAGGAGGCCACGGAGTCGCTCGGCATCGATGTCACTTAGCATTTGAGATTTTACAGATAAACACTAACACTACAGTCTTTTGAGATTTATGTGCACTGTTATTAGCATGCTAAGTTAAACGTGTATGTAGCCATTTATGTTTGAACTCGTTTTGGGGAATTATTTTACTTCGCAATGATGTGAACATACGTAGAACATAGTAAAAGAGTTTTTTCGTAGCAATTGTGAAATTAGACACGTTGCTTATTTTATGTTAACCTTTTTTAAGTTATTTATACTTTCTTCTTTTCTTTTTTATTAAAAAATTTAACTTGTTTGAGGCATTGTAATGGGATCTGCCGAGAACTGTTGAAAAATATATTCTATATTATTATATAGTGTCTATCCATAAGATGGATAGTGGTGAAAAGTTTCAGATAAATGGTGACTGCTGGGCCAAGGGAAACTTGGACAGATCAGAACATTTGCCATTTGAAATTATAGGTTGTTCATAGGTTTAAACACAAGCATAAATCGTAAAACAGTCATATTCATACCTAAAAATTGCAGAAGCTGAAAAAACACTCTTGACTCTCTTAAGTGATTGACACACTGTGCCAAATATTTGTTTATTTCCTCTTTTTTTCCCCATTTTGTGACTTGTGACAAACCCTGTGTTTGGTAGACCTGTTGTAACGGATGTAAAATGCAGTAAGATAGCTGCAGTGCATTTACTTTAGCCGTACCTCACGTGCTGCTGAATGTTGGACTGGCCTGAAACAGTCTAAAGAAAGACCCTCTTACTGTACTGTACCTTCTGTGGCATGAATGTTTTTCTTAAATATATACATACGTCTTATTTCCTAATAAAATGTATATATTCATCAACTGAGAGGTTGCGTTGTTTGTTAACAGATACATTAATAGAATAAATGAATATTTAAATTGGGTAAACAAATAGTAACATCTATTCAAACTAAAATATTGAAATTATGATGTATTTTAGTTGTGATTGTATTTATTAATATTTGATTAAATATATGAACACACACTACTGTTCAACAAGTCGGTAAGATTTATTCACGTTTTTAAAAGAAGACTCTTATGCTCGCCAAGGCTACATTTATTTGATCAAAAATACAATAAAAGCAGTAATATTTCGGAATATTATAACCGTTTAAAATAGTTATTTTCTATTTGAATATATTTTAACATGTAATTTATTCCTGTGATGCAAAGCTGAATGTTCAGCATCATTACTCCAGTCTTCAGTGTCACACGATCCTTCAGAAATCATTCTGATATGCTGATTTGCATATTATATGCATGTCTGAGCAGCATTTATTTGAAAGATAAATCTTTTGTAACATTATAAATGTCTTTACTGACACTTTTGATCAATTGAATTAATCCTTGCTGAATAAAAGTATTAATTTATTAAAAAAAGAAACCTTACTAACCTACCGGGGTCAAGAAATTGTACTGCATAGTAAGAAGAATGATAATTTTATTAAAATAAAAATTGATGATAATGAATCCCGATATGTGACCACAAAACCAGTCACAAGGGTAAATTTTTCAAAACTGAGATTTATACATCTTCTGAAAGATGAATAAATGAGCTTTCCATTGATGTATGGTTTGTTAGGATAGGACAATATTTGGCCGAGATACAACTATTTGAAAATCTGGAATCTGAGGGTGCAAAAAAAATCTAAATACTGAGAAAATTGCCTTTAAAGTTGTCCAAATTAAGTTCTTAGCAATGCATATTACTAATCAAAAATTAAGTTTTAATATATTTACAGTAGGAAATGTACAAAATATCTTCATGAAACATGATCTTTACTTAATATCCTAATGATTTTTGGCATAAAAGAAAAATCTATAATTTTGACCCATACAATGTATTGTTGGCTATTGCTAGAAATATACCCCAGCGACTTTTGTGCTCCAGGGTCACATATATTGAGTTTGTCTTGATATTTTTTGACACATTGCAACAGGTATTAAAATTAGCATCACTGAGAAGATCCATTAATGAGTGTTTGGTCAGTTGTTTCACATCGACTCAGTTCACATTAATTGATCAATCCAAAGTCATTATCATTATGAGTCTATTTAATTGAGGTGTGCAGTTAAGATCCAATTCTGTGTCCATAACAAACAGATGCTCAGCAAACACACACTCACCCTCCCACCATCTGCTCTCTGATTTAGATGAAAGGATCTGAGATCTGACTAATGTCTGCCTGTAGACATCTGATCTCAAAGGAGCCATTAGTTAAATGAGATTCATCAAACTGACAATGACCACTTGCCGTAGAATTATCATTCACTGACAGTTCAAACAGCCTCTTCAACAGGTTAAGCATTAACTTTAAGGCATTAGCTTGAAATGTAACTTCCTATTAATTGTGATAAAGATGATGAAAGCAATGTGAGTTGTGGCTTTATTTATTACTGTAAAATTGTATTAAATATAAGAACACTATTTTCAAAAGTTTGGGTTCGGTAAGAGTTTTAAAATAATTTTGAAAGAAATCTCTTATGCTCACCGAAGCTGCATTTATATAATCAATAATACAGTAAAATCATTGTGAAATATTATTAAAATAACCGTTTTTTAATTTACTATAAAATGTCATTTTTATTTTATTTTTTCGCAAGCATTAACTTAACAAAATACCCTTAAAAATGCTCACCTCTTAAAAATGTTTTTTACTCAAAAAAAATGTATGATGTTAAAGAGATTTCAACATAACAGCACAAACTCAACGTTCAAAACAGTAATTTATTGAGCATTTTCATCATAATTCATTTACAGATCATATATATATTATATGCCTGTTAGATGTTGACATTTGACTGTATTTGCTATGTATAACTGAATTTATGTAATTATAGGGGGAATATCTATCTACCCTGTCTTCAAGAGTTTTTAAAACTCAATAATATTATCTCTTTGCGGTGCTTGTATGGCATAATTGAAAACATGCTGTTTTATTAGTAAACCCGATCTGATTCTGAACCCCTACTGGATTTATAGACTTGAGAGAGCTGCAGGTTAGCTTAACTTCACTCGCACAACATGAAATGCTTGTAAACGACAGACCAAATGAGGATGACAGCGGCTTCATTTGCTAAATGAGACATGCCTGTCTGTGAACTCTGATATTGCTGGACAAATTGAACCATTGTAAGGACTAACATAAACACATTTCATAATCATCCATTTTGGAAGAAAAAAAAGAAGGAAGAATGTACATCTACAGTGACAAAATGACATAAAGAGAGTGAGAATGCAGTTCATTCATTTATTTATGTATCTGCTTGCATTTACTGGATCTGTTTGTTATAACTGGATCAGTTTTGTAATGTAACACATTATAAAGTAATGTGTTAGAAAGTAACACTTTCTATGAAGTCTTTAAATAATGCAACTTGAATGTTTTCGTAATCCCTTAATGCACAATCTGTCAATTCTATGTTCTTGTAAATGCTGTCACCAGTTTCACTATAATAAATTATAAAGGTTTTTCATAGTTATATATTTTTTGTAACACATAATCAATAACAAGTGTTATTTATTAAATGTTATAATATTTTACCAAATGAATCACCATCAATAGTTCAGTATTTAAATTTGTATTACAATGAGCATGATGTCTAGAAGGTGTTTTCTCAAAAACAATTTCTAGGGGCAATTTGACTATTTTTGCTTAAATGTACTAATATCCACTGCCCAACACATTTTGTAGTTTGTTACCTTTTAATTTTATTTTGCCATTTTATCAATTGTTATGTAATTCATTCTTTTTTTTTTACTGTTTACATTTGTACTAGTAAAAACCTAAAAAATTCAAATTTGACAACTTTTCAGTATCTTTTTCCTTGGCAAAAACGGTGAAAACGTTCAATAGACTTAATTGAAAGTGTTAATGATAACGGCTATAGGCTATATTACTGTGTATCTGTATAATTTGAGGCCCTCTGGTCTATTGGTTTGAATTCGCGTGAGTTCTCCTCAGATGTGATGCGGTCCCAGGCGCAGTACTGAGAAAGCTCTGCGGTGTTTGCGCAGCAGCTGTCGGATCTTCTCGTCGTCTGTGTCGGGGTCCAGCGGTTTGTTGTACTCCTCGTCCTCCACCTCGTTTTCCGAGCCGTCTCCTCCGCTCTCCCCCCGCGAGGCCTGTGTGGAGCTGGGCTCCGAGTCCGCCGCGCTCTTCTTCCGCCATTTTGTGCGCCGGTTCTGGAACCACACCTGAGAGGAATCACAATATCGCGTCAGAAACACGCAGCTAGGTGCTGTTAAAACTCACTACAGATCGTTAAAATAAATGCATTCTTATAACTAAAGTTTGAAAATGTTAGTAATGTAAACAACCTATTTATGTTCAGCTTCCCAACAACTTTAGCAAAGTTAGGCTACACCAATCAACACCCTGGTATGTTTTACAGCTATTGAATAATGCACATATGCAAACCTATTAAAAAAACGTTAAATGACTAGTATGTTATCTTACTTTAACTTGTGACTCAGTCATGCCTAGTGAGTATGCCAGTCTGGCTCTCTCTGGTCCTGCCAGGTACTTGGTCTGCTCGAAGGTTTTCTCCAGAGCGAAGATCTGGTGCCCACTGAACGTGGGTCTGGTGTGCTTCTTTTTCCCCACAGTCTCAGTGTGATGCCCACCATCTACAGAGAAAACACAAGACTGTGTATCACAGCTAGTCCTGCATCTTCTGACACATTTGAAGAATCCAGGTGCAAAAACCTTGAAGTCCTCTGGGATTTTTCTTTTAAACAAGCATTTTAATCAGGCTCCCATCAAAATAACATTAGACAAAGGCATTCAGTAAATGACTAATAACATTTTGATTGCTATTAAAGTGAAATCACATAGGAGCCTGATAAAAATGCTCATTTAAAAGAAAAAATCTCAGACGGACTTGGAGGTTTTTGCGTCTGAAGTCCTCATTTTATCCCACTTAATTTCTTTTTTCTAATTTGCGCTGTAACTTCAATGCATCAAATGTTAAAACGGATGAAGCATAAATTGGTCAAATGGAAACAAATAAGTAAATAATTGAATTAGCATTTACGTTGACATTTAGGCCTACATTACATGTTAGAAACACTTTTACAACTTAAACTAATAGATGAAAAAAGAATGATATGAATTGATCTTTAATAAAAAAAAAAAAGAAACATCTGGGTTTATATAGAAGAATTTAAAGTTTTATTTTTAAGTCAACAAATTTCTATGGAAAATGTCAAATTGTTCAATTTTATTATGTTATGAATATTTATTATATTTTATACACAATTATTTTAATATATTTAAAGAATATTTTATATGATTTATTTATATTTTATAAAACTTAAAATAAAGAACTGTTTTAAAAGGATGACGTTTTTTCATTAAATCTTTTTATTTACTGTAAAAAAAAAGTAATTAGAAATATTCTCCACAACCATTCATTTAAATTTAATTGACATCATATACAGTAAGATGTATATAATAATATCACACTGATTTGTTAAATCTTTTTAACATTTCCACTGAAATCATAAAATAATGAACTGTTTATTAAGATTAAGTTTTTTTTCATTAAATGATTGTTTTATTAAATAGTAAATTATTATATTATACATTGTACTGAAAAAAGTTAAATTGTATTTAACTTTACATAATATACAGTCAGTTTTATATACATTAATAATATCAGACTGACTGATATTATTAATGTATTTAGGTATTTTGACTGGACTGATATTCCACCTAATCAAGGTTTATCAAGTCAAGTCCTTAAATACAATGTAATTGGAAAACTTTTTAATGGTTTTTCTCCTGTTTGATATTCTTATTCAAACAATTCACAAAATGTAGTAAATTAGTGTGGTGAATGTCAACATGTCGGTATCTCATCACACGTAATGCTCCAAATCAAACACACATATTGCACAGACTTACTGTTGGGACACTGCTGTCTGGCTCCTCTCCACTCGTACCCTCCGTCCACCCAGCAGCTGCTGCCTTTACCCTTCAGACCCGAACATTCGACTCCGGGTTTAGGGAAACTGCTCAGTCCCGATGGGGCGTAATCCCGGTTATAATACACCCCTGGACTGGGCACGGCCGTCCCGAAGCCACCCATGGAGGGGTACCCGGGCAGTAGCGCAGGGGTTCCCGGGCCGCCCACCAGGGATCGACTCAGGATGTCGCTGATGCCATGCAGCGTGCCGGCCTGGAGCTGAGAGTTGATGTTGGTGGGGCCGAGCTTGTAGAAGGAGTTGGGAATGGAGTACTGGCACACCGGGGCCTTGATGTCTGAGGGGAACTGGTTCAAGCTGTTGTTGAAGAGGAAGGACCCTGAAATATTGGACTCCATGGACACCAGTGTGCACTTCTTCTGCTTCCCAAGACGACGATGATGGTGATTCAAGACTGATTTCTTACCAAGGTCCTGACATCAAGTACTCCGAAGGGTCTAGTCCAGTTCAACACAACCTGACAACTTTCTGTTGGAGTATTTCCAGGGCTCAGTGGTCCTCACATCACCCCGGAAATGTCTCAAAGATCAGGTAAGAGCCTGTGTTTTTACTTCCTCTTCTCAACTTTAACTAGTCCATAATGGATGCTGGATCCCAAAAGTGAACACCAAGCGGCACTCTCACTTTCACAGATAAATGTCCCACCACTGGCTCTCTGGCTGCAGGTCATAAATAAGATGCACCTTAGACCGCTGTGGCACCTTCTTCATAATGATGGACAGAATTAGAATGGCCTGCCTTGATTGGTTGAGCGCTTGACGTGCCTGGTCGCCTCATTGGTCTGTTCGCAGCAGGACAGCCTTTGATTGGTTGTCAACAGATTAATAGTTTTTTAAAAAGTCTGGGTGAGAATAAGTTGCTTTTTAATGGGGCATCTGCCGTGGCTGTGGAGGAGCAGCTAGCAAGCGTAACACAGGGAAATGGGATTTTTGTCATCTTGTAATAGTCACTGGGAATGTATTACGTTGTCTTTTCCTTCATTATGATTGCATTTTAGAAGATCTGCTTTGGTGACCATGTCTGACCGATTTTTTTTCTTTGCCATTTACTAGTACCAGACGGACAAGTGCAAAATCCCCCTTTCTCTTAGTTAATAGCATGATTTTATCATGAATTTAATTTCTTTAGTATAGAGGTGGTTTCTTATCTATGTACACTTAACAGTAACAAGTGCACGAAAGTAATGTAAAGACAGTAGGATGTAATATGTCATGTAATAAGTGTAAAGGATTGACAGCAATGAAAACTCCTTTTTTGAGACCTGACCTTAGACATTGTCCTTGACTTTCTGGACTTAGACTGTTTGATATTCTGTCCAGGACAAGAAGGGTTTTACAATTACTGTTTGTACTGAGCTATTGATTATGTCTAGGTTCATGCATAAATTCCTTAATTTCTTGACACAAGCATGGTGTATGCTTTTTTTTCTATGAGGTATAAAAAAGGTTTATATGTTAGAAAACAAAATCTTAAAGAAAATAATAATAATAATAACAAACATGGTCATTTTAGTAAAGGTCATATTGAAATATATGACCGTTATATAAAAAAAAGCTGAAATTTAATAGTTTTAATGAAAATTAATATATTAGAAACGTATATATTAGAAAAACAATTACACCTTAAAGTAAAAATACAATAAAATATAATAATAAATATTAAAAAACAGTTATTTATAATCGCAGTATATTCACCATATTTGATGGTTTCTATAATGCAAGGATTCCCAAACTTTTTAGTCAGCCAAACCCCACTGACTTTTCTTGACATACCCCACTAAGATTTTATATGAATATAATAATTAATTAATAATAATTTATCAACACATTCACATGTTCATGGTTCTCTGATGTTGTTGAATGGTCACTTGACATGCAGGAAAACAAAAGATGTATTTTTTTAGAAAGTGTTTTTTAGAAAGAAAATTCTTTTAATTTTACATTTTAATAATTTAATTAATTATTAGCTTTTCATCAGCTCAAAAACCCAAGTTAGGGAAATCCTGCTATAATGCATTAAAATTCCATAAAAAATGGGAAACCTCTTCCAGCAACTTTTAGGTTTTTATAAAGAAAAACTGGCATTAAATGACAAAATTCCCCAGCTGGGTTTTATTGTTTGAGTTGCTTTAATCTGATTTCCTTTGTAGCGGGTGATAGATGATCGCCACGATGTCAGATCAACAATCTTCCTATATGAGAGTCCTATTGACAATCCCCTATTAAGTGCATTAAGACAAAAGACCAAGCATGAATAATGAAAGCGTGTAATAAAAATAATAAAAAAACATTACAAATGTAAAGTAATGTGTCCTAATGCCAGTATGGCCAATATGTGCAGGTACTTCTATTTCATGTCTTGCTGTACTGTTTCATCTCTGGCAGATGTCGTATACAAAGATCAATCTAGGATTGTCAATGCTCAAAAAACAACGGCAAGTCTGTCATCAGCAGGCAAATCAAGCTGCTGAACTTGGCTTTGTATTAGACATTTAATAGAAAGTGAACTGTTCACTTTGGGGCTTCATATTATAATGTAGTATTACATTAACTTAGGAGTAAAGGGACGTCTTAGGTCAAACAATTACTTTCAATTACAATTACAATTACTTTCTTGTTTACACGTGACGGTGATCAGTGGGTTTCTTCATCCCAGCACTATCTATTCATCTGGGCTTTCTATGGGTATTTTTAGTTTTGTAAATTCTTGGTTTTTGCCATATGTTTGCAGAAAGCTGTTGCAAGTTCTTTATAAGACAAATTGCAAAGTAAAGAAGTAAAGTTCTACCAGAACTTGGATTTACACAGAACTTTTCCATTATTCTGGAGAAAGGAATGAAATAAATGTGTTAAAAGCTGATAATTATACATGTTTTGACATCCTTTGGTGGAGAAGGCAAGAATTCAATTTCTGTGGAAATCTGTTTTCTGCAGTTTCCATGTAAGCTGACACTTGACTTTTTTTCCAAGTATGCAGTGATAAACCTTTCTGCAAAAACCGCATTATACTGCATTTTTTGCCACATTACATTTATTTCAGTTAGTGGCGCCTGGTTATTTTACAGTTTTTTATATGCAGTTTTGTGTAAAAGTGTTTTAATGATTGACTGAAAAATAAATAAGTGCAAAAATTGTGACTGATAGTTTGACATTCGGTTCATTCGTCAAGCTTGGAGGGTTCGAAGCGCAGTGCATTGTGGGTTGCTGTATTGCAGTCTGCTCAGGTTGTATATTTAGGCAAATGTCTTCTGGGTATTCCACGTATATTGATATGTTATAAGTTAAAATGCAAAAATAGGTAGTGAGCTTGTCATCTGAAGTCTCCTACAGTCCACAGCAGTTATTGATGTATTAAATATATAGTTCGCTGAACTGATCTGCTGTGTTGACAAAAGGTAGATCTCGTTCATTATGTCAGGCATGTTTCATCATTGTTTACTTGATCAGTTTCCGCACGTTTCATCAGTCCTGTTGATACACTGCATTGTTTCGCAGATGAAAGATGAGCTGATGTGATAACAATGAAAACATTTTACAGAACCAAAGCTATACAGAACATTAATTGGTTTCTTATTCATTTGAGATTTCATTTTTTATTTGGTTAGTTATTTATAATTTTTTTTTGGCCGTTTTTGTTAGTGTGTTAAGTGCTTGATTCATGAATGTTAATGTCTGCTGAAGTTTTAAAAACTAGTAAACAGATGTTGAAAGAAAACAAAAGTCAAATTCTTTTGAGATGTCATGTAAGATCAGCTGGACTCATACTTTTGCTTTCGTTATGACAGTGTTCTTGCCACATACCTGTCTGTACAGAAAAGAAGACTGGGATGGGCTCTGGATCTGCAGGAGCTTTTGAAATGACGACCTGCGCTTTCTAGGTTTCTTTCTTCTTTTATGATTTCAGAAAAAAAAGTATTGCTACAAAAAATGATTCTACAAAAAAAAGGGGGGTGGGGTACTATGGAAATTGACCATACAAAATATAGTAAAAGTGTTTCAGGTATTACAGGATGTAATTTTGGTAAATGTATATTTAATAGATCATAACATATTAATGCTACATTAAAAAATTATAAAAAAAAAATAAAGAAAAAAATAAGATATTTTATATAATAAAAAAATTATATATATAATTAAATGTGAACATCTGGGAACTCATTTAAACCATTTTAATATTTTACTGTAATAAATTAATTCATACTTTTTATTTATCTTAAATCTTCCACATTTTTACATTATTTTACATTAGAATTATTGTCCCTGCATCCCATTTTGATGGGAGATCTTATATCTCAGCATTAGTTCCATTTGCATGCTTGAAACCCTCAAACATCACAAGGATACTACAACATTTAGTTTGTTTTCTTAAAAAGCAGTCATGGCACTATTCGCCACATGCCTTGTCTCATCAGTATTGCAAAGTTATTTTTCTGTAAGCTGTCTATTGTAGCTTGATTTAGAAACTTGTTTGCCTCTTTTCGGGACACTGATCTGCAAAACAAAAATGATCTCACTGGTTAATCAAAAGCTGACTGTCTTTGTTGTTCTCCAGCACGGGTCTTGAAGTATTGCAGTAAATAGCAAAATAGTACATTTTCCAAAGAACTCAACTCCTTTAGACCTTTGTTCATTATGTGAAAGTTTAAAAAATCCCAAACAATATTACACAAATAATATGACATTGATATAACAAACATCATGTAGTTTTAATCATTTATGCTTTACTGCTATAAGAAATGCATTAAATGACCATGTTGATTATAGTGCTGTGTTACAGCCATACATTTCATCATCCCTGAGGTTACAAATTGTGGTGCATTTTCTTTATATTCAACTAGAAACCAGGTGCTTTCTAGTCATGTCAACAGTCAGAAGCAGACATGCCTGTTTCCTCTAAAGGGTGGAGATTTTGACAGAGTTATGCTAATATGCATGTCTATCTACATTTCATAGACAAGTATGAACAACAATGATGAACCAGAGATTAATCCGAGTTGTTTGGGAATACTAGAGCTTTAAAATAGCCTATTTATACAGTATATTTACAAGTATAAATATAAGTTATTTATTTTTATATATAAGATTTATAGTTGAGATTTTCATATACAGTTTACCTTTAAATTCCAAATGTAAAATGTAGATTTCAATTGAATTGGATAATCTTGTACCATATTGATATAAAAATGCAAAGAAAAAGAAAATATATTCCATTTGTTGTTATTGACAACTTAAAGTGCATTAAACTTTGCATTATATTATCAAGGTTTCCTATACTGGGGTTCATAAAGGAACTGCAGGGGGTTTGTGAGTTTAATAAAAAGCAAATAATTAAATCATAA